AAATCAACAAACAGAAGTCACCAGATAAAATTGTGTTTTCACCTTAAAATATGGAATTGTAGCTTAGTACTTGGTTACCACCCCCACCATCATCCTCCACCTTCTAGACCCCTTCTGAGTCTGATTCCTGGTTGCTTTCATCACTGAAACAGCTCCGAGCTGCCTGTAGACTGCTCTCCCATGATTTCTGGACTGGTGTCACCATCACTGCCTTTGGCAACTTTATCTTCATCCCTGGTATTCTGCAGGTTGTGATCCTTGCCTGTCTGAAGCCAGTACAGGTGGTGTCTTGGGTTCATTTCCACCAAGCAGAAGTCACCCACCTGCAGACTTCTGTCAGTGATGCCCGCTTCAGTTTCCTGGTGGTGTGGTCATCCATTCGGTGGCTCCCAGTCATGTAGAAGTGGCCGGCCTACAGTGCTTCTCATTCTCATGGAAAAGCCATCCTTTGGCGTGAATTTCAAAGTCCAGACGACAGCAAGGATTCTTCTGTCCTGTGTCAGAAGCATCCCCTGGACATGAATGGCAACAGTACAGCCCACTTGAGTTTTCCCTTTGAAGAAATAATCTACTTTCCATTTTGTCCTCACCTCAGGACATTTCCTTTGGAGGCCACAAGTTTTCTCCGGCTCCCTTTTCTCTTTTCTCCAGGGATGTGCCCTCCAACATGGAGCTCGCTCAGTCCTGTGGCTTGTTTCTTTTGCCCTCACAAGAACTTGCAGTTTGAAGTTGGCAGGGTAGGATTATTTGTGTTTAATCCCAGACACCATCCCCAAAAGTTCTCATATGTATGAATGGGAAATATGCATAATATGATGAATAACCGACTGATTCTAGCAAAGAGATTTTGAAATGTGAAGGGGAGTGCACAAGAGGCATCTGTTTATATGCTACCCAGCGTTTGACTAAGATGACGCATGATCGATGATCAAAGAGAGTGGCACTAAGACATAACTAGGTGGTGAAATAAGCAGGCCTAACATAGATTCGCAGTCTCTCTGAAGAGAATCTGATGACTCAGGTTTTGAGCCTGGATCGCTTTAGCTTTGTCTGTTCCTCTAATGATAAGCCTGATTCAGAAGGTGGCTCTGAGAGCTGTGCCGGTGCAGATGGCACTGAGAGTCCTGCTGAAAGCGATCAGTTTTGCTAGTGCAAGCGTCTCTTTTTTTATGCTTCCAGCGAATAGTATCTGATTTATGGACAGCGTCCAACGTTCCCGTGATGAACCAAAAGTAACAGGTATATAAGTGTCCATTTAAATGAACAGAAACCTATTAGTGTGTGATTTATGTACAGGGCCCAGCCAGTATTCCCTTGATGGATTAAAAATAACAGGTATATTTAACTTAATAGAAACAGTTTCAGTTGCTTATTTTCCACTACTAGTTGCTTATTTTCCACTACCAAACTCAATTAATGACGTCTCCCATGGCTTTTATGTTTACTATACAAAAATGATCAAAAGTAACATTTGAATGAGGGTGAATGAGGCCTAACTTCACCAAGCATGCTCAGTATATGCACAGGTGCACTATGCCAAAACTTTTAAACATGTTTTTTTCATTTACATAAGTTCTATGTATGTGCACGTTATTTATATGGTCATGCTATTTTTAAAAAATCATTTTATTGGGGGCTCATACAACTCATCACAATTCATACATGCATCCATTGTGTCAAGCACATTTGTATATTTGTTGGTGGGAATGCTATTTGCTAAACTATAGTAGCTGTAATTTCCAAAAAAATTTTTAGAAGTTGAGATTGAAATGTTATATTTAGCATGGCATAAAAAGAAGCCCCGATAGCATCAGCAATCTAGCTGAGAGGAATTACTAAGAAGTAGAAGGGCAAGCATGATGGTGGGGCAGGAGGAAGGTAAAAGGAAGCAAAGGAAAGGTCTAGGAAGCAAAGCTATGGACACAGGTATAAACATAGGTGTGTATTTTTGTAAATATTAACTCATAAAAATAGAGGTATTGGGATAGATACAATTATCTATATGGCAATACATTAAGGAAGTGGACCAACGTTGAGTCTCTGCTCAAGCCCTCCCTCAATGCAAGAACACTTTATTCTAATAGCCTGGAATTCTGTGATGCTCACCCTCCTGAGACAATCATCAAAGACATGATGTGTGCATAAGCAAATGTGGTGAAGAAAGCTGATGGTGCCTGGCTATCAAATGTTATAGGATTTGGGGTCTTAAAGGCTTAAAGTTAAACAAGCAGCCATCTATCAGAGAAGCAACAAGCCCACATGGAAGAAGCACACCAGCCTGTGCAATCATGGGGTGTTGATGGAATCAGGTATCAGGCACCAGAAGACCCCAAACAAATAAGCAAAATATTGTTGAGAATGAGGGATATTGGAGCAGAGACCCAAACCCATCTGTAGACAATAGTACATTCCCTCACAGAAGGGTCACAAGGAAGGAATGAGTCAACCAGGGTGCACTATAGCACCAATGAAACACACAATATTCCTTTGGTTCTTTGAGGCTTCCTCACCCCCCAATATCATGACCCCAGTTCTGGGTAGACTGTAGCATGTACACAGGTACAAATAAGACCTTAGGACACACAGAATTCAGGTCAGATAAACCCGTCAGGAACAGAATTTGGCTTATTGGATACCAGGAGAGTAGGGAGAAGGTGGGGGGAGGAGGGAAGGAAGGGGGAACTGATCACAATGATTGATGTATAATCACCCATCCCCAGGGGAATGAACAACAAAAACATGGGTGAAAGGAGACAGCGGTTGGTGTAAGACAGGAAAACAAAATTAATTTATAAGTTATCAAGGGGTCACAAGGAGGGGGGGAAGAGGGAAAAAAGTGGAACTGATACCAAGGGCTCAAATATAAAGCAAATGTTTTGAAAATGATGATGGCCACATGTGTACAAATACGCTTGAAACAATTGATGTATGGAATTTTATAAGAACCGTAGGAGTCCCCAATACAATGATTGAATAAATAAATAAATAGTCACCCCCCAAAAAAGCTCCCATGCTGGCTTGAAGACTCCTATAATGATACACGTGTCAGGACAGTCAGAAAGCACTGTTGCCTAATAATTACATGCAAATAAATATGTAAGATTTGTGTTTTCAGCAAGCCAGAAGAAAAGTGTGAGTGGGGGAGTGGAGTAGGCAGAGAGACAGACATTCTGGGTTTCTGAAATAGGAAACATTCAAAGACAGAAATACTGTCTTGACCCTATCCAGTATGATCTGTGCATACTGGAGATTTTAACCAACAGGAGGGAGGGTTGGGTGATGACACCTGTTACTGAGGAGAGGGCCCATGAGAGATGAGGTTGGATGGGATGAAAGATCACTTATTTGCGCTTTAAGGAGCCTGGTGGCACAGTGGGTCAGGTGCTGGGCTGTTAACTCCAAGATTGGTGGTTGGGCTGCTAACTCCAAGATTGGTGGCTCCTGATTATTCTTTGGGAACAAGATGAAACTGTTCACTCGCATAAATATGGACTATCTCTGAACCCCTAGGGAGCACTGTGCTCTGTCCTGTAGGGTCACTATGAGTCAGAATCGAGTCGAAGGCAGTGATTTTTGTTTTGCTTTTTGCTTTGCACTTTGCCCTTTTGTTTTGTTTTGCAGCACACTTTAAAGACATCCAATTGGGGTTGACCAGAAGACATTTAAATGTGGGGACCTTGAGAAGGAGTGTTTCACTGAGCCTGCGTATCTGCATTCAGATGTGCTCACTGCAGGACCCTGAGCCTGGAGGATGCAAATCAGCTAGTAGTCAAGGTCACAATGAAGAACCAGAGTGACTGCGCTGCAGAAAACAGGTTCAAATCAGAAGAAGAACAGGCCAGCAGTGAAATTGTTCATGTTGCTTTTGATTTGGGGCTCTTCTATAGCCAGTTCATCTGAACAGACGAGGCAAGGATTTATTGAAGCCAAAGGACCGCTCTTCCTTGGAAAACACTTGCCCTTATAAACCCTCCCTTGTCCTGAGTCAGAGAGCCTTCATCAGTCTGTTCTCATTTGTATGTCATGGATCAAGCGCCGACGTTTTAAATCCACTTTCTCTGCAGTTTGTCTGTCTCTGCAGCAGATTTGACCATTAGTGTTCACTCTGCCACAGCACTTATTTTCCTCTTTCTGGAACAAAAATCAATCTAGAACTTCAGAGAGTGATCTGGGCTAGAAATAATACAAGGGATTCACGTTTTCCCATCTAAATGCAAAGGAAATGACTTTAAGCAGGCGGGTGACCAGGTGAGATTTATCATTGAAAGGTGAGAATGGGAACCAGAGGAGTTGAATGGTGTGATGGTTCATTTTATGGGTCAACTTGGCTGTAGTGACCCGTTGTTTGGTCAAACACGAATCTGCCAGGCAATAGTTACATGTGATTTAACCAACTGGGCTTCAGGAAAGCTGGTTACCCTCCGCACTGTGGAAGGAGCTTTGTTTCCCTAGAGGGTATTCTGAACCCCAGACAGGAAATGGGTTATCTCGTTCACTCTTTCCTTCCCGTCACCAGAGCTAGAGATTTTTGGATACCAACTTCAGGAATCTCCAGGCTGTCACCTGACCTAAAGATTTTGAACTTGTCATCACCCCCATAATCATATGACCCCATTCTTTAAAATGGGTCTCTCTCTAGATAGATATACATATCTACATATATATTACACATAATATCTTACACATAAAATCTGATACATTTATCTGCCTATCTGTCTGATTATCTAGCTATCTTACTGGTTCTGTTTCTCTAGAGAATTCTAAGACACATAGCTGTTAAAGTAGACAAGCAGGAAGTGCTGGTGCTTGGCATATGATGGTAACAAGACAGGGAGAAGTGAACATTTAGATATGCTTAGGAGATTCAATGGGAAGGATTTGCCAATAGATGGAAAGTTGGGAGGGAGGCAGTGGGAGATATTAATGGTGACCCCCTCAGTGTCTGACTTCCGCAGGCAACCAGTGGGGACACCTCCTGTGTGAGGTCAGAGATAACTCACCAGACTCTCCAGCATCGTCCTTTGCTGTGGGCTGTACAAGGGGATGCACCACCTTAATTTCACCAGGTGGTGCAGTGAGATGTATTTTAACCATATCCTTCCCGGTGTGTTTGTTGGCTATCCAAATGGCCTTCTTTTTGGAGGTTGAATAGAAGACACGGTCACCAAAAAGAGAGATTGCAAATAAATTGTGCCTAAAAATAACCAGAGGGTGGGGACAGAGACTATCAGAACACTTATTCCTTGGTTTATGAAAATTTTAGCTCATTTCAATTTATTATCTGAATTTTAATTACCTACGCTTTTGATTTCTTTTTCCACTTAGAAATGCATATTCAATTTAAGGTTTTATTTGCATAGTTATAATCTGAACTAACGGAATATAAATATCTACCCCAAATCCACTGTGTCTCGAGTCCTCTGCTGGTCATCACATTAATGTGAGGTGGGGGAGGAACAGGATAAGACACAGGATTTCTGGTTTTGTCAGTTTCTCGGTTAACTAACAGCTTCCCATGGTCAGAAGCTAGAACGCCCATTGATGGCAAGATAGAAAATAAAATCAAAGCCTGAAGTCTTCTTTCTAAGGCATAGGCATTCTCAAAATTACAACTCCTGCCAACCTGTGGAAACCTATTACATGCCAATATTCTGCTAACTACTTTTATTTTCTTTCATTTACTCACAATAACTCTAAGACATGGGTACTGCGATTACGCCCACGTTAAACAACAGTAGTGAGTTATGCATTAGGTTGCATCCCAAACAATCATCTGTTCAAACTTACACGGAGCTCCAGGGGCGAAAGATGAGGCTTTGTGCTTCCATAAAGAGTCACCGCTTTGGAGACCCACAGAGGCCGCTCTACGCTGCCCTACTGGGTCTCTGCGAATCAGCATGGACTCTGTGGCAGAGTCTGAGTTTGAGGAGAGGAGATGTTAACGTGGTCTGCCAAAGCCACCCATCCAGTCGAGGGTGAATAGGAAACCTAACCACTGGGCTGCCTTTAGTTGACAAATTTAGGGTGACTGATCTATCAGACCCGGTTGAAGTGGCCCTTGTGTTTATTTCACGACAAAAGGCGAACTTACGGTGGGAGCGAGGTACTCAGATGAACAGAACCCCCATCATAATCACAGGACCCAAGATGAGAATCGTCTCCCTCCGTATTGTACTGAATCCAAAAGAGCCTCTTAGCAGGCACATCCAGCGACAGAGCTAGGACTTTCTCCGGCGTCTCGAGTAGAAACTTTGCGTTCGAACCATTGAGGTCGACTCTGTGAAGGCTCGCGTTCACCTCTGAAGACCAAAATACAAACCTGCGGACAAGCACATCACAGAGAGGGTAATTCAGTGTAGTCCCGCAAACAGCGGCCTCTCTGCGCGGTTCACCTGCCCCTAACTCTCTACAGGGGCCCATATTGACTGGTTTTCATTCAAATTCAGTTGGGGAAGTATGCGTACCCTTCCTGGGAGCCCTCATTCGGGGGGTCGGGATTGAAGCTAAATGAGGCAGATCCCTGCCTTGAAAGAGCTCCCAGATGATGGAGTAGGGGCAATAATGAAATGGATGGATGGATAGACACCGTGGGGATGGATAGACACCGTATCCCACCCTTTTGGAAATCGAGACTGTCTCTGGGGGAGGGAAAAGCGGAGCTGCGTTTTGAAGGGAAGCGTGTGTCGATTTTTCAGAGGTAGAGACGGAGGAAATGGGCTTTCCTGGGGAGAACAGGGGTTTCAAAGGGAGGACGCCACAGTAGCTCATTTGGGCTGCGCCAGCAGGGAGTGCGAAGCGGTGCAAGTGATGGGCTCGCCTTGGTGGTTCCACCTGCAGAGCCCTGGATGCCTGGATGTGAAGACAGCCATGGTTATTGAAAAGGGATAACGGGACTTTATCAGAAGTGTGCTTTTGATCATGAATGTAGCCATAGAGTGTAAGAATGGACACCCGGGGGTTGACAAAAAAGGTTAAGCACTCAACTACTAGTCAAAAGACTGACCATTCGAACCCCACCCAGAGGCGACCTGGAAGACAGATCTAGAGAACTGCTTCTCCCAAAGGTCCCAGCCTTGCAAACCCTATGGAGCAGTTCTCCTCTGCACACACCAGGTGTGCAGGTCTTGGAAACAACTCAACAAGCAATGGGTTTGATTTGCTTCTTAGTTTTTCTGTTGCTGTGTTTGTGGGGGGGCGGGGGGTTGAGGGAGGACGGGGGGGGCAGGGGGCTATGGGAGACTAAAATGGAGAGAGAAGACAGGGAGAGTAAGTGGTATTGAAAAGGGAAACGCACTTGGACATAGTGGTTGAAGAAGACAAGGAGAGGTGGTGGCCAGAGCAGCAGTAGGATCTAGTAATTCTTGTGGTTTTCGGTCGCTGCGTGTTGTGTGTGCTGCCCTCCTGTAGTTTCTGACTCGCAGGAGCCTGGAGAACAGGGCAGAGCTCCCTAGGGCTTCCAGGCTGTGATCTTTATGGGAAGAGACCACCAGTGCTTTTCTCCCATTGAATGGCTGCTGAGTTCAAACCTAACTTCAGCAGTTAGCAGCTGAGCACGTAACCATTGTGCCACCCCTGATTTCAAGTTAGAGAATTGGTGCCCCCATAGCAAGAAACTTTGGTTCACATCCAGGCAGCTGATTGATTGAAAACAACGATGTGTCTTCGGTCCAAGAGGGACGGGGCTCAGTGAGCAGGAAGGTCCCTTTGAGTTCTAAATACAATGAATCTTCATCAGAGTTCGCAATCTCTTTCAATGTCTGAAAACAGCAGAATTTACCTTTCTACTGGATCAACTGCTACATTTGCAGGATAATTTAAGCTACTTAAGAGAACCCGGGGATTGTTTCCTTTCATATCTGTTACTGTAATGACTCCTTCTTGTTGCTTTGACCAAATAATTTCTTCATTTATCCAATTTATTGCCATTCCTGAAATACTTTTCTCTATATTGCCCACTCTCTGTAAAATCAAATTTCAAAATTAATTTATTAATATTTCCCATCCACATCAAAATTGTTTTGCTATGTATAAAATCCTATTTTAAATTATTAATCATTTTTATATATTTCCCAAATTCTCGGTTACAAAACAATCAATGTTATAGTGCCAATTGTTTTAAGGCAAGAACATATTAACACTCCCAAATGAATATTTCCAGACATTGTATTTATATCATAGCTTTGATATCGAAGATTAGCCTATACATTATAAAAATTAAGTGATCAACCATGACATATTAATAATTCCAATTATGGTAAAAGTGATATGAATTTAGATGCAAAAGCCAGTTTATTCAATCCCATTGGCTACTAGAAATTATTTCCAAATTTTTATTGAACCCAATGCTGTAACCGCCACAGTGCTAATTCCAACTCAGAGTGACCCTATAGCACAGAATGGAACCACCCCAAGGAGATTCTGAGGCTGTAAATCTTTACAGAAGAAGTCTGCTACATCATCCTTCCATGGACTGACTGGTGGGATTGAACCACCAACCTTTTGGTTAGTAATCGAACACTGAACCCACTGTATCAGTTAAGTCTCCTTGAACTCAATGGTAAGCTGCCACTTTCCAGGAAGAACTGATACAGCTATGGAGTCATTGCATTTGTTGTTGTTGTTCTAGCCCCTCCTCCTCCATCATGCTCCTTCCTTCCTACCCATCCTCATCCACTTGAACTATGGATGTCAGACTCATAAGGCTTCTCTTTCTTTGAGGTCTGCTGCTATCTTTGAGCTGGGCAGGACTGTTTTCAATTCTGTTGGTCACGAGATTTGACTGTTATGTAATGTCCATGCGATCCTGTTTTCTAAGAGGGAAAGTGTTTCTAGCAGGGTGTAGACCCCTAAGTTTTCCTGTTCTAGTTATCTTTCCAATATACCCACATTTTACAAAATTGAGTTTGTTTCAGTTTTGCTTTGTCATCCAAAACAGTACTGGGAAGAACAGGTTCACCCTGTCTTTCCTAGAAGTATAGGGAATGGAAAAGCACTGCTTTATAGCATGTCAATTTTTATAGTATAAGTAGTCCCATGGTGGCTGATTTCAGGTGACCTATATTGGAGCCCTGGTGGCAGAGTGGTTGCAAACTGCAAGGTGGGTAGTTCAAACAGTTACAATCTCAGGAACTCACCTGTCCTATAGGATCACTATGAGTTGGTATTGACTCGAGGGCAGTGAGTTTTATATGATGCCATTAAGGAGCCCTCCTTGTACACTGGTTAACTATGTGGCTACTAACTGAATAATCAGTGGTTTGAAACCAAGGCTTGGAGAGCCAATTCCATACAGAGTTGCAATGAGTCTGATTTAAGACTCTAAGTCAATGCATTTGGCATTTTTGTGTGTGACAACATTTAGGAGCTCTGGTCGTGCAGTGGTAAAGCACTCAGCTGCTAACAGAAAGGTCAGCAGTTCAAACCCACCTACTGTTCCAGTCCACATCTACCAGCTTACATCTAGTGCTATGCTGTTCCACGGGGTTGCTAGGAGACGGAACTACCAAATGCATGTGGTAGGCAATGCTGCTAGTTAGGGAGTTGGGTAGACAGACGTCAAGCAGTCAACTCACAGAGCCTGTGTAAGCTTGTTGGGGGTTGTCCTAGAGTTGCTTCTATAGTTATTCTTTATAAACTAGGTTTTCGCCCAAAGGAGAGAATTTCATAGTGGACTTTTAGGCATCAGGACAATTTATCTTCTCCTAATAACATAAATTCACTATTTAGCTTTTTCTTTCTTTTCTTTTTTTCTAAAAACTCTACAGCTTCTTAGACTCAAGGGTTGGAAACTATTCTACAGATGGCTGGAGAATAATGAGTTAGCTGTCCTGGTTAAAAGTGAGATTAGCAAGGATTAGAGATGTGATAAAACAGATTAGCGCATAATTGAGGCCTTTAAAAATAATTGGAGGGAGAACGCTTTGGTTTAAGAAAAAAAAGAGAGAGAGACACAAACAGTGGGGACTTGTGTTGGGAGGAAATGCTTACAGGTGCTCTAATCATGTGACCTCTAACCCCCTCCCAAGAATTGAGAGAACATTTCTCTGGGGACTCACTGAAGGCTCTGCCAGTTAGAAACAAAGATTACAGACCTTTTGTGTGAACTTGAAGGAAAATGCTTTCCGGGTGTCATCTGCTTTACTGCTCCTACCCCCAAGGCAAATGCCCAGAGAATAGGGGAGAAAGGGGGGCGGGGGGCGGCACCTTTCTGAATGTCAGGTGGCAAAACCTCTGAGAATGATTTTGTATGGTTAATATAGCGTTTTTTCTACCTCAGCACTATTGGCATTTGGGGCAAAGTAATTCTTTATAGGGAGGAGGGGGGCTGTCCTGTGGATTATAGGGTAGTTAGCAACAGATCCGGCTGGTTGTGACAACCAAAAATGTTTCAAGGCATTGTCACGCGTCCTCATCCTTTAGGGGGTAAAATCAGCCTCAATGGAAAACCCTGGGATAAAAGTAATAATAATAATCATATACTATTCTGTTTACAAGTGAGATTCGCAAGTTGGGGAGTTGGGTAGACGTCAAGCAGTCCACTCACAGAGCCTGTCTAAGCTTGTCGGGGGTTGTCCTAGAGTGGCTCCCATAGTTATTCTTTATAAACTATGTTTTCGCCCAAAGGAGAGAATTTCTGTTTATGCCACAAACTGGTTGCCTGACTTCATAAATCTTTAACATTTTCATAATCACATCCACATTCTCGCTTCTTCCTTTCCGTAGTCCCACTTCTAGGCTTGTTCAATCACACAGTCATAGAGATGTGGATTAAACATAGACCCACAGAGGGCTGACGCACATTTGAATTGTCATGTAATTTTCATTGATCTCTTCACTGAGATTGTACAATACCAAAGTTGTCAACCTTGAAAAAAAGAAACCCTCACGTACTATGGGAAAGGTACTTTACCTCCTGCATCGTCCCGTTCAGGAAAGTTCTTTGCAGAAGTTGACTTTCCAAATCCACCCAGTAGATTCTTTGCTGAGTATAATGGAAATCCATGAACACAGATTCTCCAGCATCTGTCACCAGTCGCTCATGATTGGTTCCTTCTGGGTCAATCCTAAAGATACTGTTTCCACAGGAGAAAAGTAAGAAGGGCGCAGGACCTGAGTAGAAAGAAGCCACATTGTATATTGTCCATTGGTTTTGGTCTGAGTTTTTAAAAATGTGTTTCTGCATGATAATGAACAGAGGCTGAATCCACTTTGATTTCTGGTGTATATTTTAAGCGGATTTTTTAAATTGGGGGCTCTTACAGCTCTTGGAACAATCCATACATCAGTTGTATTGAGTATATTTGTACATATGTTGCCATCATTTTCAAAACATTTTCTTTCTACTTGAGCCTTTGGTATCACCTCCTCTTTTTCCCCTCTCTCCCTCCCTCCCACCCTCATGAACCCTTTATAAGTTATAAATTACTATTTGTTCATATCTTATACCCTTGATAAATTATAAATTATTGTTTTCATGTCTTACACTGTTCACTGTCTCCCTTCACCCATGTTTCTGTTGTTCGTCCCTCTTGGTGGTGGTGGTGGGGGGACAGTTGTACATTGATCATTATGATCAGCTCCCCTTTTCTCCCCCCTTCTCCCTCCACCTTCCCACTACCTCATGGCATCGCTATTCCCATTATTGTTCCTGGGGGTTTTATCTGTCCTGGATTCCGTGTGTCGAGAGCTCTTATAGGTAACAGTGTACATGGTCCGGTCTAGCTGGGCTTGTAAGGTAGAACTGGGGTCATGATAGTGGGGCTGGGGGATGGAGTAAGAAGCATTAAAGAACCAGAGGAATGTTGTGTGTTTCATAGGTGCTATACTGCACCCTGGCTGGCTCATCCCTTCCTTAGGACCCTTGTGTGAGGAGAGACAGATTTTAGGAGGATAAGGAGCTCCAGAAGACAGTGCCTGGGGTCCTGGGTAGTGTTGCTAGCAAAAATGTTGCAGAGTTTAGTTGGGATGTAGTCCATTGATACAGTCCTTCTAGCCATAATTCCCTGTGTGATGGATTATCATCCTGGACTCTATGCCTGCGATGACCATCCCATTATGGAGGGAGTTCTCAGCTATGCTGATGGATAGGACTAAGTTTCTCAAAGCCCTGGTGGCAGAGCGGTTACGAATTGGGCTGCTCACCACAAGGTCAGCAGTTTGAAAGCACCAGCATCTCCTCAGGAGGAAGACAGGGTGGCTTTCTACTCCCAGAAAGAGTTACCATCTCAGATACAAAATAACAACAATAATATATAATTAATCAAGGATTACGAGAGTGGGGGAGGGAAGGGAAAAAGAGGAGCTGATACCAAGGGCTCAAGTAGAAAGAAAGTGTTTTGAAAATAATGATGGCAGCATATGTACAAGTGTGCTTGATACCATTGATGCATGGATCTGTAAGAGTCCCCTCTCCCCCCCAATAAAATGATTAATTAAGAAAGAGATAGAGAGAGTCACCGTCTGGGAAGCTCACAGGGGCAGGTCTGCCCTGTCCCATAGGCTCACTGTGAGCTGGCATTGACTCGATGGCAGTGAGCTTGGTTTGGGGTTTGGTAAACCAAGTCACGCCCTTTGCTTCCTGAGGGTCTGCTAAAAGACAAAAGGCACACGTCAAAGTATGCACACTCCTCTGTGTCTAAGAGCCACTGCAGAAGCCGAGAGAAATCCCAGGACCACTGGCAGTGCAGCACATTCAGGAGCCTCTGCCCGACGTGGCAGAGGCCAAGACCATTGGCATCAGAGTGCTTGCACGGAGACCATGGGGCAGCGCACCAAAGGTACCAGGCCAATATCAGAAGGCAAGGCAAGGAGACCCTGAGACAGAACCGAGGAGCAGTGCTGAGACTTGGAGACGGTAAAGCATCCACTGGCTTCCTCGCCACCGAGGCAGAAGCCAAAGGACCACGTGGCTGAGAGAAAGGCTGAGGACTGGACAGCGATTGGCTGCTGGCTGAGGAGAGGGGTTGCTGTGGACCGATGACTATTTCCTTAAGGTTTATGAATCCTGGCTTGTGGTAGCCCGTTCACTCCCCGAATAAACCCCTTGTAACTTTGAGTGCTGTCTGTGAGTTCTGTGTGGCTGTTGCAACGGATGGATTTCAGGACTCCGCAGAGAAGGAGAGGGCCGAGGGAGGGACAGTTGCAGGGACAGATACAACAGGATGAGCTAGGTCTGGCCCCTGTCTGGTGGCCAGAGGGAAGCCAGACAGGGGCCCTCCATGATGGTTTTACACACAAGTCAACCCGAAGTGCTTTGGAGGAAGACCCTGGTGATCTACTTCTAAAATGTAGCCATTAAAAAACCCTAGAGGGCACCACCAAACCAGACTCACTGCCCTCGAGTCCGTGGTGACTCATAAAGGCCTATCAGACAGGGTGGAACCCGCCCTGGGAGTTTCTGAGACTGAAACTCTTTACAGGAGTAGAAAGCCCCCTCTGAAGCCCCATCGTTCTCCTGAACTTCGGACCTTGCAGGATCGAAGCCCGAGGCATTACCAGCACTCCACCAGGCTCCTCCGGGAGCGCAGTCCCACTAAAACACACACGGAGTAATCATGAATCTGAAGCAACTGGTGGCAACTAGATGTTTCCTGGGAGATGATTCGTAATTAATTATGCCCATCAACTTCTCTACAAATTGATTGTAAGAAGTGAACATTGTCAAATTATGGGGAAAAGATCGATTTGAAGAGGAAGACATGTTCTCTTTACCTGTAAAATTCCAACGTCTATGTCAATGTTCAAAAGAAACCACCTTCTGTGCTCTAAGGTGGAACAAGTTTGTGTGAAAGCAAACTGGAATTATATAAGTTGGAAATAAAATCATAGGTATTATTGTTTGGGAAAGGGAGCACCTAACCTCTGGTTTTACCATGGTCAATGCCTTTAGGACAGTGACACAGAAGATGGGGGAGACTTTTCTTTAAAAATGAAGTACTGACCCGTAAAGACTCTGAAATATTTTGACTCTCTTAGCATTGCCACATAAAATATAGGACACCCAGCTAAATTTGAATTTCATAGAACAGTGAGTAGTTTTTAGTATAAATATGCCCCAACAGGAAGGTTAGCAAGACTTTAGGATACGTATGTTGGACAAGTTGTCAGGAGAGACCAGTCGCTGGAGAAGGAGCTGGTGTTTGATAGAGTGGAGGAGCAGCAAAAAAGAGGAAAGCTCTCAATGGAATGGCTTGATGCAGTGGAGGTAACAACAGGCTCCGTTACAGGAACATTTGTGAGGGTGGCGCAGGCCTGTGCAGTGTTTCCTTCTGCTGTGCACAGCGCCATGAGGGGGTAGAACTGAGTAGATGGCCCCTAACCACTAAAGACAAGGAAAGATTGAATTTATAAAGATGCTGAGGATGAAAGGCAACAATGATGAAAACAAAAATGAGGTATTTGACGTATTCAGTACCAACTCCTGATGGAGCATTGGAGCATAACCTACCATGTGCTGGGAATCAGTAGCATTTTTGAAGATGTTATCAGTTAGAAGACCAGTTAAAGTAGCATGAATTCTTCTAATCTTACATGACAGCTTAAACTCTGAACACCCATTTTGCAGAAGGCTGTGGATGACAGTGGAAGCCCAAAATCCATTTGCAGGATCCACACGTGGATTAAGCCTCCAGTGAGTTCCGTCTGGTCAGAGTGCGGGGAAGTGACTGGCCTCACTGGCAGGCAGAGAGCACTATCAAGTCCATCGCGGCTGCTGCAGTCAGGTTAAAACATAACACCTTATCATTTGATCTCCCTTTAACACACTGTAAAGTCCTTTCAATTTTTAATACTTTCTGCTTTCTTTTCCAATGAGGTTTTCTCTGCTTTCATTTTTCAGTGCTTTTTGGTTGTTGTTTCTTGTTTTTGTCTCCTATGGTTTTCTGTCTATGAAATCAAGGAGAGGTAAGTCCACAGAGACAAGAACTAGATTAAGAATTCCCTAGAGGCCTGGCAAAGAAGATTCGAGGGAAATGAGGAGCTTACAACACTGAGTGCTATAAAGAAGAAAATGTTCTGTAATCGAATGTAGGGATGGATTGTACTGCTCCTTAATGCGCTTGAAGGATCAAATTGTATGATCGCTGAATTATATGTTGATAAAAAAATCTGTTTTAAAAAGGAAAGAAGAATGACAGTAAATGGTAAACACGGAGCCAGTGGGACGCATGCTGCTACATGGTGGGGTTGCCATCAATGTGACAAAACAAAATGTGCGTGCGTTGTTGAATGGACAAAGGGCAACCACTTTGCTTCATCGACTTTCACCCAAATCATAATTAAAAAGGTGTGATTTCAGAGAGCGAGAAAGTCCGCAAGGACACAGAGACAAAAGAAGGGCTCCAGTGACATTGCAGCTGCAAGCCCAACACTGCCGGGGACTACCAGGAGCTGAGTCCTCGGAGCCCTCCGGAGGAAAGGACCTGGTTCTGATTGTTTGCCTCATGAAACAATAAGCTTCTGTTCCTATAAGCCACTGGATCGTGAGTTGCTACGGCAGCCCAAGAAAAGAAGACAGCAGCACAAACTACTGTCCGATTCCAACCTGGCTTTTTGATGCCTTGAGAGGAAGCCAGCGGGTGGTTTTATTGCCCACAGGCAAGTTATTTCCTTGGGTTTTCCCGATCAAACGTGAGGACGCACTTACCAGAGGAATCACCAGAATGAGTCTGGGATCAGAGCAGAATGCTGACATTCTTGCTTCCTGACTAGGCTTCCTCCATCTTATATTAGCAGTAAACCCAGCACCTCAATATGACTTAACAACGAATTGCAGTTATTGTAAAAAGGCTTAAACAAGATGACAGCTCACATCCTCTTACTCAGGGATTATGTTCTAGATTCAGGAAGCATGAATTCCACCTCAGAGGGTACCCATTGGCATAGGGCAAGGAGACCTGAGCACAAGAGGAAAATAGCACAGTGTCTGAGTGAATTGGTTCAAATACTTGCTGCCTTCAGTTTATGGTAACATAAAGCTCCCTGGATAGGTGTGTAAAGGAACCCAAGCCCCACTGCCACACTCAGTTGTGGAATCACAGATGGATTGTGTGGGAGTAGAAGGCATTAGGTGGAGAGCCAGCGGGCCTGGTTTCTACTCATGGTTTTTCTGA